TGATTGTTTGCTAGTGTATCTGTTCATTTCCTTCAGTCATTTCCATTTACTTCTTTCATTGCAAACATGTCTGGCTCTAAATTGAAACCTAAAAATGCTCTCTGTCTGTATCGTGAAACACTTTCTGGTGCAGAACAGCTACGTTATGAAGCAAAACTGTCTACTATTGGGGGCTGTGACCCTTACGTGGTTGATGCTACTAAATGGTCTGCAGACGTCGCCTTGTTACCGTCCGTGACATATCCAGATATTGTGAATTACCTGGTTTTCAATCCTAGCCCTTACACACTGGATGACTTAAAGTGTTACAAAGGTCTTGAAGCCTACAACCAATTTGTTTCCGGTTGGGTGAGAGAAATGAAAACATTTGTGTGCAATGAAAACATTGTAGTATCTGCTAAGGTGAGCACTAATATATGGCATTGTCAGTATTTTTAATAGTCCACTGTTTTCTCAGTCGTGGATGTCCTTTTGTTAAGAGATATATGTCTGTTGAAAATCTCGGTCTCAGTCTGGTGTGTTTACTATTAACTATAACGATACATTACAATTGTTGTACATCTTGTGCTTTGGGGCTTCAATTACCTCATATTTATTTTTTTACACAGGTCATGCATTCTCAGAGAATGAGTGAGAAGCCCCTACAGCCCTGGATGATAGCGAAACAAAATGGTAGTGTTCTGTGTGCTCATTGTAACTGCATGGCTGGTCTTGGGGATACCTGCACCCATGTGGCTGCAGTTCTGTTTGCAGTGGAGGCTACTGTTAGGATTCGAGACTCCAAAACAGTGACTGATGAAAAGGCATATTGGCTTCTACCATCATCTTTGAAATCTGTGACATACAAGAACATGAATGATATAGACTTTACATCAGCCAAAACAAAAAAGAAACAGTTGGACGCAAACTCCCCTGGCTCCAAAAACACCACTGGCTACACTTAACAACATACCACAACCAACAGCTCAAGAACTACAGTCACTTTTCAATGAGTTTCATCTAACTGGGTCAAAGCCTTCACTGCTCTCGTTGGTTCAGCCATTTGCTGCTGGGTTTGTGCCACATTCCAATGATTCCATCACTGCAGATGAAAGTTACCCAGTTTTAACAACATTATATGATGTCAACTATAGCAACTTAAATTATAAAGAGTTACTGGAGAAGTGTTCAACAGTTCAAATAACAGTGACGGAACAACAAATAAAAAATGTTGAGTCACATACTAGAGAACAGGCTAAATTAAATAGATGGTTCCAGTTTAGAGCAGGCAGAGTAACTTCATCAACGTCCAAAATAGTATGCAGAACCAACCAAGACAGCCCTTCGATAAGCCTAATATCATCCATCTGCTATCCCATGCTTTCCAAGTTTTCAACTGAGACCACTAGATGGGGATGTGAGCATGAAGACACTGCCTGCGTGAATTTTTCGAAGTGATGTCTCAACACCATGAAAATGGGCATATAGAAAGAAGGGGACTTGTAATTTACCAAGACCAGCCATTTATTGCAGCTTCCCCAGATGGTGTTTTCATTTGTGACTGCTGCAGTACATCTTGTATAGAAATCAAATGCCCCTTCAATCTACGAAATGAAAATCTTGATGGCTGTGATTACCTGAAGAAGGAGAATGGCGTAGCAACACTTGTGAAAGATCACAGTTACTATTACCAAGTCCAGACTCAGTTGGGTGTATGTAATTTACAGCAGGGGTATTTTGTAGTTTGGACTAAGAATGACATGCACATTGAAAGTATAATGTTTGACGAAGAGCTTTGGGTAACAATCTGTGAACGTTCAAAACATATATTTTACACCGCAATAATGCCAGAACTTCTGGGAAAATTTTACACCAGCAATCACAAAGAAGTCAGCAATGATGATGCAGCCTCTACGTCCAATAGCAATGATGATAATCTGTATTGTTATTGTAACCAAGAAGAACAAGGCAACATGGTTGCCTGTGACAACACAGAATGTGCTCTTGTCTGGTTTCATTTCAAATGTGTTGGAATTAGAAATATACCAAAGGGAAAATGGTTTTGTCCTGACTGTAGGAAACTACCAGAATACAGGAGGAAGAAAAGATTGTGTGATGCAGCCATATTGACATTATGAAACAGTACATCTCTCAATGTTATGTAGTCAATATTTATTTGCATTTTTTCACCCAGTATCATTCTTTTATATATCCAATATTTATTTACATTTCATTACAAAATATGATGCAGTCAATATTTAATTGCATTTTTTTCACCCAGTATCATACTTTTATATATCCAATATTTATTTACATTTCATTACTAAATATGATGCAGTCAATATTTATTTACATTTTAGTGAGTGTGCCTCCAATGTTAAGCAATATTTTGTTTACATTTTTATTATTTCCAGTACAAGGCAGCCAATGTTTATTTTTATCCATTTTTTTTAATGTGTACAGTAGTTTAAATTCTGACATTTAGAAAAGAAATTATGACACTGATAATGCTACATGATATCAAGACAAAATATTTTATTTCATATTTACAAAAGCATGCTATTAAGTGGGTGTACATAAAAAGTGTAAGTACCTGTGAAATATGCATGAATAGTGTTCAATTAAAATCTACAACAGACTCGGAGAGGTTTGCTAATGAACAACATACGTGTGCTATTTTGTCTACCATTGTTGTACCCTGGTCATCTTTAGAAATAAATAAATTGATTGGAAGAGTACTACCCAGTATTGTATATTTCTGTCGCACCATTCCAATGACCCTTTCCTCATGAATTCTTACATTAGCTATTTTTCTGGTTGTTTCAACATCAACTGCAGACAATTGGCTTTTTCCCCGGGTAAATGCAGGAATCTTGAGTTCTGCACAAACAGAACCAACACTCTCCTGGATATTAAAACCACGATCAGCCAGTATCAAATCTCCTGGTAATAAATTGTCAAGAATGCCACTATTTTCTGTAATGTGTTTGTCACCTCACTCTACCACCCCAAGCTCTAGACAAAAATGACACAGTACCCTGTGGTGTAATGCCCAGCAAAAAATTGGCTGTATTGTGGTGTTTATAGGAAGACCATGTTTCAGCACGTGCTTTCAGATTTGATGGTCTTTCTACAAACACCTCAAAACAGTCAATAATTACTGCACATCTAGAACCACAATGCTGTTTAAACTGCATTGGCATAGTCATCTTCAAAGTCTCCCTATCTGGCCAAAAAACGAATGGTTTTGTGCGAATGTACATAACATTAATAACTGAAGTTATAATCCTTGACACTGAAGCAGGTGAAATGGAAAACTCATAGGCTAAAAATTGTACTGACAAATTCAATCGAAGTCTCATTAATGTTAACATAAACATTCTAAATTTGTCTAAAGACGTACGAGGAGGTAAGTGTTGTTCTATGAAATTGTACAATGAAATTAAAATGGCAAATGAAGAGATGCCAGTAAAAAAATTTACTTTTTCATTGTCTCCCTCTAAGTCTACCTGTGACATTTTATTTGTATATTTAGAAAGTTGTTCTTTCAATGATTGGTTTTCTGTTCTTAGAGCTTGGAGTTCATTCTCCATTGATTTTAACATAGAGGTAGTTAGGTCTGTTTGAGTGCCAAACTCAGTTGTACTTGTAGCGTTTTCCTTGTTTTCCAACGCCAACCCCTCTTCCACAATGACGATCTTTTCCTCTGCTTTTCTTTTCTGTCTATTGTGGAGCCTATTGTACCTGTTTACTGCCATTGTTTGCTTCAGAACATTCTCCCCGTGCCCGACATTGACTGTTGGCACCCAGTTTGGGTTACCTTTGTCATAGAGCCGGGCCTTTTCACCTGCGGGAGACACAATAAAATACACTTGATTATCATATTATCGATTTTCTCTACCACCAATTCCACTGGGTTTTATCAAATTTCAATGCCTGGTGATAAATAAAATTGAAATTGTAAACAGCGAGAAACCTACCACCAATGAAATGTGCCGAGCATATTCTGATGTTACCCATGTTTCGGTTTTCAAATTTCTGTCCGAGGCTAGCCAGCCATTCTCGTCGCCTTTCACTACTCAGATTTTCGCAATCTTCGCCTTGATTTACCACTACTGCTGGTAATCGATAAAATTGCAAATGTTTGTCCCGATCTTTTCGATTTGTACATTCAAAAACTACACATTTCAAAACCATTTTTGAGAAGACGATCGACCTTGTGTTACGCAATAACAACAATACGAATGAAGGCCTCCAAGATGGCGGCGCGTCTCATTGTCAAGGGAACAATGACGTCAGTGAAAGACCTCTATAGACATACATGTTCAGGGTTACCACCTGGCTTCCACATGAGACAATCAGAATGTGGTCTTGTTAGCAGCTGTCTCATGTAGGCAAGTCAGTAGATCGTAAACATCCGTTGTTTCCAGTGTAAAGTTTCCAGTGGTAAATAATAGTCAAGTAGGTAAGGCCAATACACAATTATCATTCAACTTAGTAAACATATAATATCGGTGACTGTTACACACCACATTGGCAATAACAGCACTACTTGATAAATCTTAGTACTATGCAAGTAACCCT